CCCTTCCGTTCCCAGCAATAGGCCAATAATAATATGGACCAGGAAAAAAAGCCTTGTGTGTTGTTGTTGTTGTTTTAAGGTCTATTTATTTTTGAGACGGAGACAGCACGCGAGCAGGGTAAGGGCAGAGAAAGGAGGAGACACAGAATCCAAAGCAGGCTCCAGGCTCAGCGCTGTCTGCATATGCCCAGCTCACTCTCCCTCGGAGACCCCAACCTTTCCAGACCTCATTCTCCCACTCTGGTCAGAGGTACACTCACCAGTTTGGGGAGGTCAATTTCAGCCAAGAGGAGGTCAGGGGCTTCCAGCCAAAGGTTCAGGTGAGGCTTCTCAGGGCTGCGAAAGACCAAGACCCAAAACTGAGGAGAGCCCACTAGGCCTCTGCCAAGGCTATTCTTTCCCTTTCTCCCTCCTACAAACCCTGCTGCCTCCCGGAGCCTTCTCAGTGGCCATCCTGCTTCCCCCCCTCTGGGTTCCCAGGGCCCCAGGACACCGCCTCCTATGGGGAGGAAGGATTGAGGGAGGGATTCCAAAAATTACTGGGGAGACATGAGAGAGACAGAACCCAGCGAAGGCCCACCCTTCCTCAGGTCTCGGGGAGTCGGGAGTGTACAGGTTTCCCAGCTCCTGGATCCGAGGACGTTGTTGGGAGCGGATATTTTGCTGGGAGATGGAGCCCAGGAAAGGTCGGTTCTTCAACATGCGCCACTCTGTGAGTAGGAAGCTCAGGGTCAAACGTGGCTCAAGCGCGGGTTCCCTTGGCTTTCCTAGGGGTCCCCACGCAGCAAGAGCCTCAGGGGAAAGTCTCCGCCCCTCCCAGGATGCCAGGGATCTGGCCACACCCCCGAGCTTGGCTTCAGGAAATCTGCCCACTTTAGCCCCGCCCTTCTAGGGGCATGTGGGGGCGGGATCTGTCGCCAGAGGTGCTCCTGGCTCCGCCCTCTGGCTCGCCAGACCCCGCCCCTTATCTGGCTCCTGGGCCAGTCCCATCTCCACCCCCACCCCCACCTTGGGAAGCCTCACCTTCTCCCTGTAACCCGCAGCCCAGGGACCAAAACAATCCCTGCCCATACCAGCACCACCTTTTCCAAGGGCTGTCCCCGAGCTGCTCTGGCTCCCCGAGTCCCCGCTAGTGCAGGCCACGCCCTTCACCTGGATTCAGCTGAAGACTGTATTTGTCCTCAAGGCCCTCCCTGGCGATGGTGACCACGAGCTCCCGCAAGAAATCGCTGTTCTAGAAGTGAGAGGGGGAGATTTGCCGGAGGGCTCGGGATGGAGGGAGAGGCCCCAGCCCAGGCCTCACCCGCAGCCCCGCCCCCAACCTGCATCCTCCGGTAGAAGTCGCTGTTCACCGCTACGTCGTAGGCGGTACAACCCTGGCCTTCTGTGGGGAGAGAAAGGGGGTGAGACCCCCAGCCCTCGGTAGGAACCCCACCGCCCAGATAACGACGAGGCAAAAACGATAAAGGACAGCGGCCACACGAACCAGAAAGACCCAGAGACAATTAGAAAGTGAGGGCTCTTGCCAGTCATACCAGCCTCCTCTCTACTGTTCTGGTCCTTTCCCACCACATCCCAGCAATGACCCTGCCCCTTCCCTGCTCACAGCCCTCCCATGGCTCCCCAGCGCCCCAGACGAAGGTTTGTGTCCTTCAGTCTGGCGCTGGAGGCCCTGTGTGGTCAGCTCCTCCCACCTGAAGAGAAGCTCACGTCTCTGTTGGGGACCTCGTCCCTTTAAATTTCTTCCAGTCTCTTCCAATTACTGACCGATCCAATTCAACCATTCTCTCCAGCCTCTGGACTCCTCGGTCCCCTCTGCCTAGAACCCTCTTCTGTGTCTTGGCCTGACACACTCCTTCGGTTCCTTTGCATCTTATATCTGCCACCTCCTCCAGGAAGCCTTCCTTGACTCCTCAGTTCGGGTAAAGAGCCCACCCCCCTCCAACTCCAGAGCGGCAAAGATCACACCATAATGAAATCGCATCTGTCTTCTCTGCCCTCACCTAAGACTAGGAGTCTCTCAAGGGCAAGTTCTGGGTTGGATCAGTCCCTGCTCCCCAGGGCACTGCCCAAAGCTTGGTCCCAGGAGGCTTCAGGGGACATACGTTAATTGAAAAAGCAAGCACACAGACACAGAAACTCAACAGAGACACGTGAGACAAGGCAGAGAGACAGAGACAGGGGAGAAGAGTGAAGAAGGAAACAGGAACAAGACTGAGAGCTGGTCTGGCCAGCTAATGAGGACACCCGCCCAGCTCTCCCTCACTGTGGGGTAGGGCAGGGAGAAGTGCCAGCCTGGCCAGGTGGGCAGAACGAGGACAGAACTACCCCGTGTAGCAGGCACTGGAGGCCCAGGAGGTTAAGTTCACGTCACAAGGAAAAGGGGGCCAGATTTCTAGGGGGGAAGGGGGGAGGGGGATCTTGGGCCCTGGATCTTGGATCCTAGGGAAGAAAGGACTCAGGGAGCTAGCTTCCTGGGTCCCCCGAGGGCACTGACTTGCGTCCAGTTCTGCATGAGGCTCTCCCAGGCTCATGGGGATGCGAAACCCGGCTTGGTCTTCCTCCAGCATTTGAAGCAGCTCGTCCTCGGTCACATCAGCCGGAGGAGGGATGGAAGGAGAGTGACAGATGTTGATGAAAACCTTCCCTTCGGAGGAGTTGGTCTTTATGCAGAAACCTGGTGGAAATGGGTTTGTCCTGATGTCTGCCTCTGTGTGCGTCTCTGTCCTTCCCTTGATCTGTCCCTGCTTTGAGTCTCAGTCCTCTGCTTTCTGGGCCTGCTCCCCTCCCCATTCCTGGGATCTCTGACTCTCCTTCTATCTTTGAGTCTGTCCCCCAGTCACTCCTGTCCTCCTCCTTCTCTCTTTAGCTCTTGGTCCCTCCCCCTCTCCCTGCCAAAGACCTCTATACTCCATTATTCTGCCTCTCTCCTGCTTCCTCTGTCTCTGTCCCCTGCCCCCAGTCTCTGTCCACCTCTCTCTGAGACTCAATCCCTCTCTCTCTGGCTTTCTGCCTTTCTTACCAGGTTGAGGTTGGATCTGTGTGGATTCTGGTCTGCTTGTCTGGGCTTGCTGGAGCTCCTTGGAGGCCTGTGTGAAGGAAAACACCCTCCAGTCACGGTGTCTATGCTATCAGACCCTCATTTGTTCTTCAAAAGTTTATGGAGAAATTTTGTGCATGTGAGATATGAGCAGAATAAGACATACTATGTCCCTCTCCTCCTTTGAGGACCCCTATGAACAATCCCAACCCCATCTGCATTTCTTCCAGATCCTAGCAAACTTGGAGCTAACCAACTACAATCCCACGTAGTGCCTTCTGGGAATGTAGTCCCATCTCAGAACACCCGCGGGCGTACACACATATACACAACATACACACACACATCCCCAGAATACCCAGGGACCCAGGACCCGGAGGCCGGTCAGTCCGCACCTGCCGCAGTAGCTCCTCGAAACGCATGGTCTCAGCGCCCATCTTCTCTGCCTCGCTTAGCTCGGGCACCAGCAGCTTCGAGTCCGCCATGGCCCTGGGGAAAAGACCTAGGCGTCCTCAGTAACTCCGACGTGAGCGGGAACCTTCTCCAGGATGCGAATTGTGGAGCCTGCTGCCAGACCCACCCCCGGCTCCTGGTGCCCACTATTCCGTATGAAAGTCTAAGAATCTGTCCTGAAACTGTAATTCCACTCAGACCAGATACGGCTGTCAAATCCGTTTGGAGCCAATATTTCCAGATGCTCTCTACGTCCTACGTGCTATGTAAATGACAGCCACGCTTCTAGTCACTGTGTAACCAAGGACTTCGGCCGACCACGCTTCCGTCTGCCTCAAAAGCTCATTCACCAATCCTGCAACCTCATTACGTTCCGACCAATCATAATCTAAGGATTAAGCCCCGCCTCTCACCTCAACCAATCAAAACTAAATCCTGAACCTAGGTTCTAAATGCCACACTTCCTGTGCCGATTAAAGCCGTATTTCTCCTTCCCAACAACATCTAGCCAAACTACGGGGCAGTCCAGACTGGCACACTTTCAAAACCTTCATTTCAGTGTCCATCGTAAAAGCTTCCCTTCTGATCTATGAACTATCGCTTCGTCCCAGAGCTAGATTCGATTCTCTAGTAAATACACTTCGGACTAAATATACTTCCTGTCCTCAGTATAAAAAGGGTGGCGGGAAGAACCACACGGTCATTCTTCTAAATCTGGAGCACCCCTAACTACCGGCCAGGCGCCCACATCTCGGTTCCCCGCCGCCCCCACTTTGAGGACTGCGCATGCTCCAAACTACACTAACCAGCTTGGAGGGCATGGGCGGGACCACCGGGTCTAAGGTGGGGTTACGCTCTATCTCCCGTAGCCCCGCCCTTTGGGCTGGAGGGGGCGGTGTCGCCCTTCGACCTCAAGGTTCCTCTGGGCAGAGCGCCCCGCACTCCTTCGTGGAAAGCGGTCCGGGCGAGTGATGGCTGCGACGCACGCACAGCGCAGCACCCGAGAGATCTTCGCCACGCTGGAGTACGGACCCGTGCCTGAGAGCCACGCATGCGCATTGGTGAGGGCCTGCCGTTCAGCGCTGCCCATTCCCGCCCCCTCCCCCCCAACCAGGCATCCAGGTCCAGTTTAGCGCGCGGACTCCCGTGATCCACCGCGGCAGCTCGGCAGCTCCGCCCTTCTCGGTTCCCGTGATTCTCGCCACCCCTTGGGACCCACCCTAGAAGGGCATTCCCTTAAGCCTTTGCGGTTGCTTCTTCTTAAGCCTGGATCCTCTTCCGTTGTTTGGTAGTAGCTCTCCTGCTCCCTGGTACCTACTTGGGATGGCGTTTCCCCGATTGCTTCGAGGCCTCGGATTCCCCGGAGGCTCCCGTGATTCTCCCAGCCCCCTCAGAACTTCCCGGGATCCCCCGGGACTCGAAATTCCTGTGGGGCTTCCTTGATCTTCCAAGGTCCCTCAAGCCCCATAGACTTCCCCAGAACATGCTGTAGCTCCCATGATCCTGAGTAACGCCCCCCCCCCCCCCCCCCCCCCCCCCCCCCCCCCGCCTTCCCATGGAGTCCCGGGATTCCTCAAGGCCCCCACCAATACTTGAGGGTCTCCTAGGATCTTGTGAGCTCAGAACTCCAGAATACATCAGAACTAAACTGTAATTAACCTACACCCCCCAGAATATCCCCATGGGGCTCCCATGACCCCCCCCCTCACCCATCTCAGAATACCCCCCCCATGGGGCTCCCGTGATTCTTCAGGGCCTCTTCAAATCCTCATGAGACTTCTGTGATCCCTCAGGGTCCCCCAGAACCTCTTGTGGTTCTTACGGAGAAGTAGGGTGGCTCGAATATCCTGTAATTACCTAGCCCCCTCAGAATTCCCTCACTGGGGCTCTCGTGATCACACAGGGTCTTCTAGCACCCAGGAATGAGAAGCTTGGGCTTCTCTTCAAGGAGAGAAGAGGAGTCTAGAACCGTGGTCCAAGTGGAAGAAGATGAGGTCAGAGCCAGGAGCCGGCTGTGAAAATGGATAAGGTGGATAGGAGGGGATGAGGCAGGGGAACCGTTTGAGGAGTTGAGAGGGCAAGGGCAATGCCTGGGGTCCAGCTGTGTCTCCATCCCTCCACCACCACCACCAGCGAGGAACCCAGGAGGACTAGAGTTGCAAGGAAAGACCCTGAGCGTGATTATCGCATGGTGAAAGTGTGAGGGACCCGGGGACAGCCTTGAGTTATGTGCAGGAGTCTGATGTTACTTGGGCTTGAGCCTTTCAGGACTGGAGACGGGGACCTGGGAGTCACCACCGTAGGACCATTGGACGGTGGGAGTGATGATCTGGGACAGAGCACACAGAATTCCCACACTTGAAGGTGGGCTTGAGATGGAATATACTGAAATAGCAATAATGTAGAAATAGCTTATATTTACTGGGTGCTTTCTATGTGCCAGCCTCTGTGCTCAGTGTGATCTCCTTTAATCCCCAGAACAGCTGTGGGAGGGGATGGTTGTCATCCTTTTAGTGATAGCACACGGAGGCTTGAGGGGGTAAGTAATTTGCCCACGGCCAACACGGTTTAAAATAGGTAAAGCTGAGATTTGAACCTGAACCCTCGGATTCACGGTTTTCCCCCACAGCCTCCCAAGCAAAGGTCTCAACCTTACAACATGTGGGCCCGATTCATCCAACAAATTGTTTTCTTTGGCCCGAACTTTATTTTTGAAAATGTGAATTCGTGGTCAACTAATTCCATGGAAACATCCCAGGATTCCAGCTTCTTTTGAAAATAAAATCCCAAAATTTGGCAATGTTTGGCTCACATTCCCTGACAAAAATCATCTGGATCCAATAGTGACTGTCTTTTTTAGGCAAGTTGTGAGTTCCCAGTCTCCACCAGGCCCTCTTCTCACACTAGCGTGACCTGCCAGGACCCCGTAGACATTCTTTTAGGGTTTTGTTTTTCTTTGGGAGGGGGGGATTTGCAAACTTCCACAGAGAACTTGATACTATGAATTGCTATTTACTTCAGCTTCAGGAATCGTCAACATTTGGTCCAGAGCTGTATTCTTTGGTTTTCTCTTTTTTCTGGAATGATTTAAATCCCAGATGTCATGTTATCTTCCCATAAACATTTGAATCCTCTTTTCTAACTGATAAGAACTCACTTGATAACATAACCCACCTGGCCATTTTTCGCACTTCACACTAGCAGCCAATTCTTTAATTTTTTGTATATTTTTAAGTAGGTTCCACGCTCAACGTGGGGCTGGAACTCACAACCCTGAGACCAGGAGTCACACATTCTACTGAGTGAGCCAGCCAGGCGTGCCCCTAGGGGTCATTCTTTAATATCATCCAATGTCAGGGTGCCTGGGGGGCTCAGTCTGTTAAGCGTCTGACTCTTGATTTCGGCTCAGGTCATGATCTCACCGTTCGTGTTCCAGCCCCATACGAAGAGCCAGTTGGCAGGGTAAGAGAAAGATTAGGAGAATGGGGCATTTGGGATGCTAAGAGAAGAGAGAGAACATCTGTGGAAGGAAAAAATGGGAAGCGTGACTCGGATTTAGCGAGGATTTTGGGGGGGACAGGAGCAGGGAGAGAAATCTGAAGCAGACGTGGAGGGAGAGATTAAGAGCAAGTCTTACGCAGTGCTGCTCTCAGCGTGTCACGTGCATTGATCCATTTCATCCTCGCCACAACCCTGTGAAGTAGGGAGGGGCTGGGATTATCCCCATCTTTCAGATGACCTTGCGGGGACCAGAGTGTGATAACACCCTGGCTAAGGTTGCACCGCTCAGTCCCAGAACCGGGTTTCGAATCCACACACTGCTGCCCCGTTGGCAATGCCTACGTGCCGCGCCTGGGGCTCAGCCCAAGAAGCTGCACCTGTGGGGCCTGTGTCTTCACCGGGGGTCCACACTGCTCCTCTAAGTGGCGGCCGCCGAGGGGGGAGGGAATGCCATCACACGGTTGGGTGCAGGGACTACCCGGCTTAGAAACCCCACCTTCCAAAAAGAACCCGATGGTGCCTAATACAGTGTCATGGGCGTTGCTTCCAGAGTCTTGTACGCCCCAAGGTATATGCCCCATCACAGGAATGCAGAGGACTCTGGGCACCTGGGGGGCTCAGTGGGTTGATTGAGCGTCCGACTTCAGGTCACCATCTCCCGGTTCGTGAGTTCGAGCCCCACCCTCAGGCTCACTGCTGTCAGCACAGAGCCCGCTTCAGAGTTCAGATCCTCTGTCCCCCTCTCTGCCTGCTCCTCCCCTGCTCATGCTCTCTCTGTCTCTCAAAAATACATAAACATTAAAAAAAAAAAAAAAAAACGCAGACAACTCCAGACAGCCTCAGTGCCCTGGCTTCCCATTGGATATTTAGGGTGTGTCCCCAGTTGTCCCGTTCAGGTGCAGTGGACCATTCAGGGGTCATTGTTGTCTGGTAATACAGCTGAATTGTCTCAGGTTCCCTGAGTATTAGAAAAGTTCACCTGAGGTCACTTCTGCATGGAGGAGAACAGATTGTTTTGTTTTGTTTCGCTTCATTTTGTTTTGTTTTGCTTTTTAATGTTTATTTTTGAGAGAGAGAGACGGGGAGAGAGAGAGCGACACAGAAGCCAAAGCAGGCTCCAGGCTCTGAGCCGTCAGCACGGAGCCTGACGTGGGGCTCAAACCCAGGGACTCAAGATCACGACCCGAGCTGAAATTAGAGGCTCAGCCGACTGAGCCACCCAGTCGCCCCAGGAGAATGGGTTTTATGAAGCCGCATGTCAAAGTCAGTAGGACAGCCCTCACGTGTGGCTGGTGAGAACGTAAAATGGCACAACCACCATGGCAAACAGTTTGGGGGTCCGTCAAGAGGTTACCCAGAGAGTTGCCATATGACCCAGCCATTCCGCTCCTGGGTACATTTGCCTAAAAGAAGTGAAGGCGGGTGTTCAGACAAAATCAGGTACGGGAAGCTGCCTCAGCGGCACTGTGCGCAGTAACCAGAAGGCTGAAACAAATGGAATGTGTCAAGTGATAATGAACAGAGACAAAACGTAGCCTCTCCAGACAACAGAATGTCCTACAGCCACAAAAAGGAATGATTGATACGTGCTACAACTTGGATGAGCTCCAGAAACACCATGTTGGGGGCGCCTGGGTGGCTCAGTCGGTGAAGCATCCAACTTCGGCTCAGGTCATGATCTCATAGTTTATCAGTTCGAGCCCTGCATTGGGCTCTGTGCTGACAGCTCAGAGCCTGCTTCAGATCCTCGGGCTTTCTCTCTCTCTGCTCCTCCCCAGCCTGCGCTTTCTCTCTCTCTCTCTCTCTCAGAAATAAGTAATCAGTAAAAAAGAAATTTAAAAAGCAAACCACCATCTTGGGTGAAAGAAGCCAGCCAAAGAGGCCACGTGTTGTGGGGTCCCGATTCACGTGGAATATCCAGAGAAGGCAAATCCGCAGAAACAGGAAGCAGATTAGCAATTAGGGGCTAGGGGCATGAGGAAGAGAGAGTGACTGCCTGATGGGTGCCGAGTTTCGTTTTGGGGGGATGAGAATGTTCTGAAACTAGGTCGTGATGGTTGCACGACATTGTGAACGTACCACATGCCGCTGAATTGTACGCCTTGAAATGGTTAACATGGTGGGTTTTATGTTCCATGTTGTTTTTGTTTTTTTTTTTTAATGTTTATCTATTTTTGAGAGGTGGGGGTGGGGGAGACAGAACCCAAAGCAGACTTCTTGCATCAGCGCAGAGCACGATGCTCGGCTCAGAGTCACGAACCGTGAGATCGTGACGCGGGTCGAAGCCGGACACTCAACCGACTGAGCCCACCCAGGCGCTCCATTTGGTGCATGTATCTTATGTTTATGTGCATTTTCCTGTCACACCGGCAACGAATTGGCAGGTGGGGCGAAGGGGTGCAAGTGTCCCCCTCCCAGAGGACCCTAGGTAGGGACTGAACTCCCCTAGCTGCCTCTCAGACGTTGTCCTAAACTGTCTTTGCCTCCCCCAGGCCTGGCTGGACACCCAAGACCGGCACTTGGGTCACTATGTAAATGGAAAGTGGCTGAAGCCGGAACACAGGAATTCAGTACCTTGCCGGGATCCTATCACAGGTATGAAGTGTCCCCCGGTTGTGCGGGGAGGGAGAGGCAGGCATCCATATCCCCAGCCGTATCTACCAACAACACCCCATTCTCTTTGCTCAGGGCCCTGAAGGCAGGAAGTAGCCAGTGTGGGGAGAAGCCCAAGATTTCTGGCTCTTCCTGTTAAAGTCATCCAAATAATAGCTCCAAGTGCCTGCGGGTGCTTTTTGAAGTCAGTGTCTACCAAGATCCCTTCCTTGATTAATATATTTATATATTTTTAGCATTTTATTTATTGTCGAGAGAGCGAGCGAGCGAGCGTGCGAGCAGGGGAGGGGCGGAGGGAGAGGGGGACAGAGGATCTGAATCGGGCTCTGCACGGACAGCGGCGAGCCCGATGCGGGGCTCCGACCCACAAACCGTGAGATCGTGACCTGAGCTGAAGTCGGATGCTCAACTGGCTGAGCCACCCAGGCGCCCCTACAACCAAAATATTTATAATAATAGAGTGGGGCTGGGGAGCAGCTCTACTGCCTGGGGGGGCACATCTGGGGTCCCTCCATTCATCTCCCCAGGAGAGAACTTGGCCAGTTGCCCCCAGGCACAGGCTGAGGATGTGGCGGCAGCCGTGGAGGCAGCAAGGACTGCGTGGGAGAACTGGGGCGGACTCCCTGGAGCCTCTCGGGCCCAGTACCTGACCAGGTGATGCGGTTGAGGTGTGGACCTTGGGAGGTGGGGGACAAGATGAGACCAGTCACTCCTGTAAAAGCGAATGAGACAGTCGGGGCAGGCACTGCTGGTTCACGAGGGAGGAAGGGGCTGGGGACCAGGACTCCTGTGTCTCACCCACGGGCTCCCAGCCTGCCAGCGCCTCAAGCAACCACTTGAGACTCTGGGAACAAAGACTCTATTTCCCGATGTCTCGATGTCTCGCGGAATTGATTGCGTAGCTAAGGCTCACATTCCCAGCATGCTTTGAGCCTGTAGCGGCTAAAGCATCCATCCACCAGGACTAGTAATGACAAAGCTCTGTCTCCCAGAATAGCCTCGGGCCTCATCGAGGCCCCATTTTCCTGGCGGTTCATTGGGGCTCCTGGAGCCTCAGCGTCACCCGTTTTCCATCATACTCTTGGAGCAATTAGAGACCAACATTCCATTTTCTAAAATGCAATTGAGATTAAAGGTTGAATTTCCAATTTCTCAGCACCTTCGGGGGTTGCGGGCGGCCGAGATCTGCAAAAGGCACCCTCGGGGTTTGTGTTTCTCGGACTACATTTCCCATAAATCTTTGGTGCTCTTCACCTCTGGTAAATGGTGGAGGCGATCATGGGGATTGTAGTCCAGGTATGTAGGGGGTGTTCCAGGACTCTGAGAGGCAATGGGAAATGACTCGCCCCCTGGCTTTCTCTACAGGCTGGCCAAGATGATCCAGAAGCACCAGCGGCTACTTTGGACCCTGGAGTCCCTGGTGACCGGGCGAGCCGTTCGAGAGGTTCGAGACAGGGATATCCCACTGGCCCAGCAGCTACTCCAATGCCATGCAGTCCAGGCATACACCCAGGAGGAGACGCTGGCAGGCTGGGAGCCCATGGGTGAGACGCAGGAGTCCTGGTCCCCAGCCCCTTCCTCCCTCGTGAACCAGCAGTGCCTGCCCTGATTGTCTCATTCACTTTTACAGGAGTGATTGGTCTCATCTTGTCACCCACGTTCTCCTTCCTTGAGATGATGTGGAGGATTTGCCCTGCCTTGGCTGTGGGTAATTGATGGGCCGGGTCTGAGAAGGACGGTGCTGATGGGGCCTGGACCCCTGGATCTGAGGGAGGAAGGGGCTGGGGGGCCTTGACCCCTGGGTCTGAGGGAGGAGGGGCTGGGGGACCTTGACTCCTGGGTCTAAGGGAGGAGGGGGCTGGGAATCGTGGGTCTGAGGGAAGAGGGGTGTGGGGACCTTATCCCCTGGGTCAGAGGGAGGAGGGATCTCGGTGCTTTGACCCCTGGGTCTGATGGAGGAGGGGGCTGGGGAGCCTTGACCCCTGGGTCTGAGGGAGGAGGGGGCTGGGGGACCTTGACCCCTGGGTCTGAGGGAGGAGGGGCTGGGGGGCCTTGACTCCTGGGTCTGAGGGAGGAGGGGGCTGGGACTCGTGGGTCTGAGGGAGGAGGGGCCGGGAGCCCAGACTCCAGGATCTTTGCGCTGCCCACCTTTCCCAGGGTGCACTGTGGTGGTGCTGGTGCCCCCAGGCTCTCCAACACCCCTCCTCCTGGCCCAGCTGGCAGGGGAACTAGGCTCCTTCCCAGGAATCCTCAACGTGATCAACGGCCCTGCCTCCCTGGGCCCCATCCTGGCCTCCCAGCCTGGAGTCCAGAAGGTGACCTTCTGTGGAGCCGTTGAGGTATCTTCGGGGTCGGGAGGGGGACGGGACGTGGCGGGGAGGCCCAAAGGCCCCTCGGCTGAATCCCGCGGGGGCCCTGCAGGAAGGACGTGTCCTTCGGCGGACCCTGGCGGGTCAGGGTGCTGAGCTGGGCCTGGCACTGGGGGCCGAGTCGCTGCTGGTGCTGACGGAGGCAGCGGACGTGGACTCGGCCGTGGAGGGCGTCGTGGATGCAGCCTGGTCCGACCGCAGCGCGGTGAGGCCCATGCACTCGTGTGCCCCCAAGTCCTGGGGATCGTGCGTGTCCGTCTCCAGACCTCAGGGCCTCATGTCTCCACTGATTATAATTTTCAGTTCCTTGTGCCTCAGATTCTGTCTCCGCACCATGGCGCGTGTGGGGCTCCCGCACGTCGGATTTCTGCCTTTCCACATCCCGGCTCTCCAGTTTTTGCAGAGGGCTCACGTCTCTTGTTCTTTAAGATTCTCTTCACTTTTCTAAGTATCCGTGTCCCTACTTTTCCAACCTCTGTCTTCACTCTGAATCACCAACTTCTGTAACTTCACTTCCTGCCCGGGTTTGGGGCCTCAGTGAGTCTCTAGGGTCCCCAGCCACCCCCCCCTTGACCCTCCTCTGATCTGTGTGTGTACATCCCCAAGTCTCCACCCTCTGTGGGGGCCCGTCCCCTCAACGTGAGCCCCGACCTTGCCTGCCCTGACATCCCTTTTCCTCACAGGGGGGACTCCGGCTCCTCATCCAGGAGTCCGTATGGGACGAGACGATGAGGCGGCTTCAGGAGCGCATGGCACGGCTTCGGGGCGGTCGAGGGTTGGACGGCGCTGTGGACATGGGGGCTCGAGGGGCTGCCGCACACGACCTGGCCCAGCGCTACGTGCGCGAGGCCCAGAGTCAGGGCGCACAGGTGAGCAAGGCGTACAGACCCCTGGCGCCAGGGGAAGAGGGACCTGGAAACCCAACTCCTGGGTCTGAGGGAGGAGGGGCTGGGGGCCGAGACTGAATCTGAGGGAGGAGGGG